CGAGATCAAATACGCAAAGACACTGTACCTGCATCAACGCGGGAGCTGCATGTACTTGCTGAAAATTTCTTCAAAGACTCAATAACACGAGGCGTGCAATATTCGTCAAAAGAACCAAATCCAAGATAGTTGTAAGACCCCAAATTAAGACACCTTTTGCTCTTTGTTGTTCGCCTGCACGGAGTTGCAACCAAAGGGTTATTCTATGAACACCCTTCACGTAGGTGATAAGTGGAGTTGAACGTTTTCCAAATAAAACCAAATGGGTACAATTCCAACCGTCAAAATTTCAACCTTTACATTTCTCTCAATGTAAGCATATAAGCTATAATTTTTCAATAGAAAAGCAGAGGAAGAAAGACTCACTTTAGCGTTTTGTTGTTGTCATTGGAGTACCTCTCAACCACATCAACCCAAGCATCAGGTGCACTCGCTATGGGACGTCCAAAACAATCCTTCACACACATGAAAAAGAAAAGTTATTAGGAATCAAAGCACAAAATCTTTCGGCTTTCAAGGATTCATTTCGCCGGGATTCAACATTATATGAACACAGAAGAAACGAATTGAGAAAGAAACGAATTGAGAAGAAGTACCTGAATCCGATGGTACAATCGCCGGATGTAGAAATCCTCATGCGCCAAGCAGATCGGCGCGTATCCCTGTAAGAAATGTGAAATCAGGAAATTAACTTTCGGGAATTTGTAAGACGAAAAATCGAGACTTTATATGTGGAGGGAGAGAGACAACAAATGAACAAACCTGGAGATTGTTGGTGCTCCACCAATCGAAGATGAGGCGGGAGTAATCGCGAAGCTGGCCAAAGGCGAAGAGCAAGCCGTAGCTGAAGTACGTGGATACAGCGGTAAGGTATGGGATCGTAATCATTGTTCAGCTCCGCCTCGTCTTCTTCCTCCGAACGATTTTTTCTCTCCCTCTCTCCCTCTCCCTCTCTCTCTCTCTCTCGGTTCGAGATTGTAGGACAGAAATGGAAGAAAATTCAAAGATGAGATCTGGAAAAATCTTGCGCCTTTCTCACGGGAGAGATGGAGAGAGAAGAGAGAGATTTGAATTCAATCTCCTTTGTTGGCTTTCGTCAGAAAAGGAAAAGGATTCTCTCTTTCGGAGGATCATTAAACAAAAAAACCATTTTTCTTTCTTCGGTTTCGTCTTTTTCGCTTATTTTATGATTTTCTTTCTCATTATTTATGTGATTTTTGGACCTTCCGCGTCGGACTATTCAATAATTCGGTATAATTGTCGATTAGTACTTTCAAAATACTTAAAAAACAGGAGAATCTCTATGCTAAAAAGGTCTTTCTACGCTCATGAATTTTAATTTGTTCTCTAAAAATTTGTCCATGATACAAAGAGGAGACTACAACATGTAAATTTGTTTTTCTGGTCAACATGGGAATTAGAAAAGTCAAAGTAAGCATGAGACCATTGCTAGAAGATGAAGTTCCTTCCCTCGTTTAAAAGCAAGAACACAAATACTTAAATGTATACAATTATAGATTGCGTTAGAAACTTGTGAAGACATGTTCATGTATCATATCTGGAAAGAGTGTAACGACATCTTCAGAATTGACAATAAATGTTCATATATGGCCCAACCTAGCTTAGGAAGTGTATATCAAAGTATACGAGTGAACCAATAACTATCATATGAATCATATCATGCTAGTGTAAGAAATGAAGATTTGATACACTAAAGATGCTCTTGTTAGTTCAGGTTTCTAATATACAATATACACAAAATCCTCATCTCAAAGTTCCCGCCTCCGATTCGAGCGCCAAATAAGCTCTTGGCATAGCTCGTGCTCCAACCAATCTCACTCTAAAAAGATTTCCACTAGTAGGTTTCCCTCAAGTCCTATATTTAATCTAAAATTTTTAAACAATTACCACTCGTCCATGCCTGTCTTCGAAGCCAGGAACATGATTCTTATATAGTCCATTAAATTGTTCAGGTTTTTTAATGATAGGACCGGTCCCAAACACCGTTGAGGCGGATTCAGTGGACATAAAATAAAATTAATGTAGGGATAATTTCCATATATAACCCGAAATTTGTTTTTTTCTATAACCATAACCCGAAATTTGAAAGTATTGCAAAACTAACCTGTTTGGGTAGCGAAATTACAAAGGTCACCCTCATGAACAAACAAAAAAAATTTGCCGCGATTACCAAATTAACCCGGAGCGTAGGTCTACGCTTGCTGTCTACATATAGACTTTTATAGTCGGTCTACCTTGTATTTTAATTTTATATGGGAAAAACAAAAAAAACATTTTGATGAAACCATTTGCATACATAAATCATAAATAGTAATTTGCATCTTGAAAAATTATAATTGCATACAAATGAGTCAAATTAAACTAACATAGGCAAATTAGTTTGGAAAGCTGTAAAAACGTATGAGGTCTACGGTTTAATTAAATGAAACTTTTAATTTATAAAATAAATAGAAAATATTTAGATGAAAAATTTGTATTCATAAACAAGACAAAGACAATTAGAGTCCATATAAAATAAACATACATGTTAATAAGTGAATTTAGGTTGACAAAAACAAATTAGGTTAGAAACTTGTAAAACCGTGAGAGGTCTAGCAACGAGGTCTACAGGAAAATGAAATCTTAAAAATAAATTATAAAATTGATAAAAAATAATTTGATTAAAAACTTGTATGCATAATTAATTCTTATACATTTGACATTTATTAAAAATAAATCATACGAAAAATGAATCAATCTATAAATGTCATGAGTAAATGTTTCAAATTGATAAGAGTTTGGATAGATAGTTTAGGGTTTAGTTGTCCAATTCTTAGGGTTTAGATAGTTTTAATTTGAATTTTTGTTTTTGGTTGGTTTTTTTTACGTATATTTAATATTTTTGTTATCTTAACCATAAATATTGTAAATGACAAACAAAATTGATATTCGGTTCATGTTTTTTCAGAAAATTTGTAGTTTAGGGTTTTGTAGACCTCATCTGTAGACCGCACAAGAAGATGAAATTGAAATAAACCGGAATGGTTTAGTAATTAAATTTGCGGGAATTCCAAAATTTGAAATCCGAATGAGCGGGAACCAAATTCCCTAATTTAGTTAGACCGCAGTTGTAGATCGCATTTGTAAACCACACTCGTAAACCACGTTTGTAGATTACATTCGTAGACCTTAGCAAATTATGGTTTAAGCTAAATCTTTTAGCTAAACCGAAAAAGAAAGTTCGGTTATCCGAAATTTTCTAATTAAACCGGGAAATTTATCTTCTCCTATAAAAGAAAAAAAACCCTAGGTTTTGTTAGAAAAAGAAAAAAGCCTCTTTCTTCAGACGGCGCTCTCTCTCTCTCTCTTTCTCGCTTCCCTCTCGAACCTCAAACTCACTATCTCGCTTCCCTCTCGCCTTTGCCTTCTCGTTCTCGCCGTCACCATCTCGTTCTCGTTCTCTCATCAAACGGCGCGCTCTCTCGCTGTGAAATGTCGCCACTTTCTTATTTTCTTCTTCTTCCTCCATCTCCGTGCAGTTTCCGCCGCATCCACCTCCGTCGTTGCCGCATCCAGTGCCGTCTTCGCGTCGAGTCAGTTTCCATCACCATTGTCACCGGTAAACCATGTTCTTCTCTCTGTAACAGATCTGAGTTTAGATTTGAACAATAACATGTTAGATTATTTTCCAAGCAGGCTTTGAATCCGTTCGTTGATGCGTTTCAATGACCTAGGGGAGAAGTACATCCGCAGATGCATGAGGCTGATTTGTATTCATCACCGAAAAAGAGCCTGAAATTGTAAGAGGCGTGACCGCTTGTTTATCACTTATAACTTTGTGAGTTATCTAAATTTCTCTCTTTCATCATCTCTGCTCTTTTGCTTTGCTATTACTTTTGTTTTCTGGTTGAATTACATCTTTCACACACGTATTTTCTTTTTAGATTTAATAATTTTGCTCACACTGATATTGAAATCTCAAAGTTGTTTCTTTTTTTCTTCTTATAAATATAGTGTAAGAGAGGCGAAAGCTGATAGAACAAGAGCAGAAACATAGCTATAAGTCCTAATAAAAATGTTTGTTGATTGAAAACAGGAGCAGAAAGAGATGGTGGAGAAGGGTCTTGTTACCATGGAGGATGTCGAGATGGCTTCTGCTGAAGGTAAATTTTCATCCTCAGCTTCTGCTCTGCTAATTGATACTTCGACTTACCTAATTCTGTGATTATAAATCTAATATCAGCTAGAAATAAACTTTTAGTACTCAGAAATATAATCAGTTTGAGCTGTAACTTTATAATATCTTCTTGGAATTGTTCTTCTTGCTTAGTTTTCTGCTCATAACTCTTGTGAAAACATTGTGCCTTTCCCTGTTAGCATATTTATAGAATGTTTTCTTTTTGTTCTGTGTCTTCTCTTGTCTAATTGATATGCCCTCTTTTGTATATTGTTTTGCGTATTATTCATTACAATGGCCTGTTCAGATTCATTTTGCTCTTGTGACTTGTACTATGGTTTGCATTAATAGAAGCTGATCTCTTCTTTTTGGTCTCAGCTGCAACAGAAGACTCGAAGAAATCCCAAAGAAAATTTAGCGTAAAGAAGACAATGAAGCTCAATAAACTAGTTAATAAAGGTAACTAATCCTTGAGCGTTTGCAGAACTCTTATAGTTTCTTCTTACACATGGTACACAAACATTCAGTTACTTATCATAGATTTGTTGTTGTATTTAAATCGTATTTTTGATTTTTTATACTCATATATATGGAAGTGAAACTCTGAACGTCTGTGTTATGAATATGAATGTTCATACCCTTGATTTTGATACCCTTGATTTTTGATTTTCAAATGAATGTTCATGAGTAATGGAAGTTTGGAGAATCTTTTGTATGGCGGTGAGTTCATGAGTAACAGACTTAGCAAAAGATTGATTACTCTAGTATAGTGTTTCACAAGATTTACTATTTTGGTTTTCAGGTGAAGAATATCCCTCACGCAGAACATACCTCAAGAAAAAATGTTGGATCAGAGTCGAGACAAGATGTTGGAATCACGTTCTTGGAAATGTCGAGAAGCGTTCATGGCCATAGTTTTTTAATGTCAAAATGCTTCTAAATTATGTAAAAACATTGTCATAAAGGAAACAAAGTGTGTTTTAACGGAATGATTTCTGTAAACTCACCGGAACGTTTAGCCGGGGAGGAGGGTTTATCTTTTTTTTGGCCCCTCTTCACAACACTGATTTTGTATAACTATTTTGGATGCAACACAAACTGAAACGCAGTTATTAATGAAATCTGTCTTTAGTATTACTTAACTTCATGTAGAAAAAAGGTAGACGTCATTCACTCATTGTAACTGATGATATGAAAATAAAATTTAATGGATATAGTTGTAGACGTCTCATAGACCTCCACGAAATAAATAGTAGACTGCGCGTGAATGCTTCGTAGTCATCCGGGAACTCCTTGTAGACCTCCGACCTTATTTCTGAGCAGGCTTGGACACCTAATGAAGAGCAAACAATTATAGCATTGTTGTAATGAAAACTAATGGAACTGCGAGACGCACAAAGCTTACACAGTACGGGCGAGTATGTTCTGGTTGCTTGCATTTGGAGCAGTTGTATACTTTGGAGTTCCCCTGACAAATACTTGAGCGAATTTGAGAGCCCGGTATGACGTTGTATAGGTAAGATTCAAGCCAAACATGATCCTCATCGAATCTGCAATTTGTCGAGGGACAATTCCATCTATGAGTCCAGTCCGCTCCACAAACAATTGTCCAATATATCTTGGAGTAGCTCGTCTACGGTGAGCTACACGGTCCATAATTGAACAAGTGTGACCCTTTACGTACTTGGTAACCCAGAAGCAATCCGGTTCATTCTTCACAGCTGCTCTCAACTTCCATGCACATCCATTGACAACACATTTTGCCACAAACATAGGAGGTGAATCCGTTGGCAATTTCTCCATCATAGCAGCTGGTAATGGATATGACAACTCCAGCAGCTCGCCATTAACTTGCAACATGTAGTCGTTCACAACCATTTCAACCAGCTCTTCATGTTTACAATCATCCTGCAGGTAGAACATTCTACCTCCTCTCGTTTTATCAACCTCAAAATACCATTTTCTGTCTCTGATAGTCCACGCTCCATACACGGATGCCAAACAAACCATGATCTGCATGAAAACCAAAGGGAAAACACATTAATATATATTGATGGATGCCCTGTAGACGGAAACGTTAGACCTCCACACACGGGATGCGGTCTACAGAGTTTAACCAAGTTACCAAATTTAACCAAAAATCTAATACAACCTTCATTACATAACATTAGCATGCAAAACTCTCATAGGGACAAGTTATTAGGCTAACAGAAGTATTTATGAAAAAAATTAACAAAAACAATTTAAATTTCGCAGAAAATCGATTTTAAAAAACGGAAAAAATGTAGACCTCCAACCAGATCTAGACGTAAACCTACTAAAGAGGTCTAAAAAAGGTTAGTTTTGCAATTGACCAAGGGAAGACTTTTTTGAGATCTACAAATGCGGTCTACAAAAAAAGAGGTTAGTTTTGCAATTCATCCAAAAAATTTGGGTAGACCTCACGAACAAAATAGACCTCAACCTGTAGTCTAGAAAAATTATACGGTCTACGGGGAGGTCTACGAAATCTGTAGACCTCAGACAGGTTACTTTTGCAATTGTTTGAAATTTTTTTCCACCTGTAGACCTACTGAGACTTGGTCGAGCTAGACTTACAACGGGTAGAAAGAGGTTCAGAGGTCACAGAGGGTACAAGAGGAACCTGAGGTGCTTGTTGCTGATACAATGGATGTACCAGAGGGGAATGGAAACCCTTTGGGAATGGACTCGGTCGAGCTAGGCAAACTCGACCGATTGGTCAAGGAGATGCTCCAAACCGCCACCAACAGAGACAAGGGATTGTTCCACCACCAGTGCAGAACCACAACTTTGAGATCAAGCTGGGAATGATCAACCTTGTCCAGAACAAGATGTTCCATGGATTGCCAAGTGAAGACCCCATTGACCACCTTGATGAGTTTGATAGGCTTTGTGATTTGACAAAGATCAATGGTGTCTCTGAAGATGCCATCAAGCTGAGACTCTTTCCTATGTCTCTAGCTGACAAAGCTCACCAATGGGAGAAGAGCTTGCCCCATGGCACAATCACCACTTGGGATGAATGCAAGAAGGCCTTTCTTGCTAAGTTTTTCTCCACCGGTCGCACAGCCAAGCTTAGAGGAGAGATATCCAGCTTCATCCAGCGAAACAATGAGACATTCGCAGAGGCTTGGGAGAGGTTCAAAGGCTACACAAGTCAGTGCCCACACCATGGATTCAACAATGAATCACTACTCTCCACTCTTTATAGAGGATGCTTGCCTAGGTATAGGGAGATGCTAGACACAGCTAGCAATGGGAACTTCCTCAACCAGGATGTAGATGATGGCTGGCAACTTGTGGAGAACATAGCTAACTCAAATGGAAGCTATGGAGAAGAGTATGATCGCACCAATCCGGAGCTCGACCCACCACTCGATCGAGTCAGACGAAAAGTTGAGAAAAGATGTTAAGGCATTGAATGAGAAGTTGGATAAGCTGATCCTAGCTCAGTCCACAATGAAGAAAGTCAACTTTGTGTCTGCTGAGGAGATGGAACCAGTCCAAGAAGGGGAGGATACACAATTTGCTGAGGTGTGCTACATGAGCAATGGGCAAGGAGGTTACAACAAAGGATACTATAATTACAAGTCCAACCCTGCCATGTCATACCGCAACACTGATGTTGCTAACCCTCAGGACCAAGTCTATCCTCAACAACAAGCAGCTCGATCGAGTCAAGGTGCCACAACATGGGTATGGTCAAAAGAACAATTACCAAGGACCACAAGGCACTTTCCCTGGACAACAAATGAATATCCCACCAGGCTTTCCCCACCAACCGCCCCAGCCTGCACCTTCACAAGAGAATGAGCTCAAGGCAATGCTAAAGCAACTACTTCAAGGGCAAGCTGATGGGGTAGTGGACACAAGCAAGAAGCTAGCTGAAATAAACTCTAAGATCGAGAACCTCAACACAAGGGTTTACTCTCTGGAGAATCATGCTTCTTCTGTTGCTGCTGCTACAAAGCAAGGACAACTACCTGGTAAAGCTATTCAGAACCCCAAGGAACAGTGCAAGGTCATCTTCACTCAAGAAGGACTTGTTGAAGAAGAGGATCAAGAAAGGGTCATTGAAGATTTTTGTTTACTGCTGAATGATGAAGAGATTGTTGCTGCTGAGGCTCCTGGAGTCCAGATTGATCAACCAGAAGTGCAGGCACCTACTGTGGCCATTCACACTTCACCAGTTGAGCTCGCACGACAAGCTCGATCGGCAGCTCGATCGAGTCCAACTCTAGCTCGATCGAGTCCGACCTCTTCTGTCCGAAGCCTGTTTTGCTTGATCCTTACCAACCGGTTGCCGCTTCCTCGTCTCGCCTACTTAGTCAAGGTCACAAGGAAGTGATTCACAAGTTCAGAAGAGATCTCAGTGGGATTGGAATTGAGTTGCCTCTATGGATAGCATGAGTGAGGCATTTGATCAAATGCAAATGGTCAAGGATGTTCTAGCCAACAGTGATAAAGTTTCAGAGGTCCTACAAGAGTCTACTCATCAGTTCAACCTGCTTACTTCACCCACCTTCCTACCAAAGGTCAAGGATCAAGGGAAATTCACTCTCCCTTGCACACTTGGGCATCTTGAGATTGACAATGCCTTAGTGGATTCTGGAGCAAGCATCAATCTGATCTCTCTCTCCATGGCAGAGAAGCTAGGCATTGCTGGAGCCTTGCAGCGCCCTACTACTTCAATCATGTTTGGAGATGCAACTTCTAAGTCTCCTCTTGGAGTGTTCAAGAACTATCACTTGAAAATTGGAGAATGCATCATCCAAACTGATCTCACTGTGATGGAAATGGAAGAAGAGAAGGATTACCTCTGTTATTGGGAACCCCTTTCCTTAGTACAGTTGGCGCTTCAATAGACTTTCACAAGCAAGAAGTGATCCTTCACAAGGTGAATAGTTTGGTGTCATATCGCTTGCAGCCTAGAGGTTCAGACTTTTGTGCCACAATTGACAGTACCAACTCAGTTCTAAGAGTCATGGAGCTACAAAGGTTGTGAAGGAAAGGGTTGACAAAGAACCAAGAGTTGGGAAGGATAAGGATGAGAGAGGACCAAGGATTGAGAAGCCACGTCTTGAGAGGGCTAGAGTTGAGAAACCACGTTCTGATAGGCCACGAGCTGATAGACTTGTTCAAGCCCCTTGTGTGCTTGATGAAGAAGCCTTCAAGCTTTGTTTGATGAGCCACTAGGAAGGGCTCTAAAAGAAGGGGAGGATGTAGCCTCTAAGGCAAGACCAGGGATAAAAGAAAGGATCCACCAGCTCAGGCCCCTTCATCAAGCCATCTCAGCTCACAATGACTTTGTTCCCCACCAAGTTTGAAAATGGGAAGATTGAGTACAAGATAAGGTACAAGGGGAGATCAAGGCCATTCTCTAGAGCCAAGGCCTTGGTGACTTCAGAACAGTCCAGGGACCCAACCAAGCTAAAGGAGCTTCTGTCTCAAGTCCTCACTATCACCCTTGATGGTGGGACTAGCTCAACCAATGCCTAAGAAGGTAAAGGTCAAGCTATGGGACCTTAAACAAGCTCACTTGGGAGGAAGTCCCATGTTTATCCTTGTACATATTCTATTTATGCAATTTCTATCTATTTTATGTTTTTAACCTTTGAATAAGTTAAGTTTAGGTGTCAAGAGAGCCAGCTCGACCGACAGCTCGATCGAGCTAGAAACAAGGGCAACTCGACCGAGGTAAGTTTTTGAATTTCAAATTCATAACCGTTTTCTTGGTCAAGGGAGTGGGTCCCACAAGCTGATTTTGGTCCCCCACTACCCTAATTTGATCAGAGAAACCCTAGCTTCTTGTCCCCTCTTTATTTCACTTTTAATCTCAACCACACATCTCAAACACTCCCTCTTCCCCATAACTCGATCGAATCCCACTCTCCCACACCTAAATTTTCTGAAAACCATCTCTCTCTATCTTCACCACAAGAAAAATCGATTTCCTCTCTTCCTCTCTAAGTTTTTGCGATTTCATTGTTCTCTTCTTGTTTTGCTTAGTTCTAGCTACTGTGATTCTTCCATCATTCAAGCAAGGTATGAACCCTAAAACCCTTGAATCCTTCATCTCGATTCCTCTCTATTGCTTGTTTCTCTCTTATTTTGATTGCATGTGTCCCTTGAGGACTTGTCCTTGAGTAATTGCTTTCCTTTATTCTTCATATTTGTATAATCTTGTGAATTTGCCTCACCTCACCTCTGTTTTATCATTAGAACTTGTTGCATGTGCTTGAAATTTTGAATTTGAGTTTGGTATTGGTTAAGTTGCTAGTGCTTCACTAGAATTGCTCATTGTTCCATACTGTTGTTATTGGTTCAATTTGATTGTTAAGCATCCTTTTCCAGCTCTTGTTTGATTAGGTCGGTTATACTCTGTTTTCACTTGACTCGATCGAGTTTGTCACTCGAGTTTTTTGACTCGATCGAGCTGAGTGTCGAGTTGGCCGAACCAACGATTACAACTCTAATTCCTTGAGTTTTTGATGCATTTCAGGAACCCAACTTCAAGAAGCAACCATTTAAGATGTTGAGAGGTGAAGGAAGCAAGCCAGCATTCACAAAGAGGGAGGTAACAAGAGGAGCAAGGAGGATACTCAAGACACTAACCAAGGAGGATGAGGAAGAGATTGAGAGGGTGAGGGAAGAGAGAAGAACCAAGAGAAGGAATGATCCTATCAGCAGTGAGAGCGAAGTAGGAGAGTTTGAAATTGGGGTGAACATCCCACATGAGGAGGATGATGAGTCCCCAAGTGAAGAAGAGGGTGAGGAGGTCAATCAAGAGATTGAGGAGAGTGAGCATGAGAGCAATGAGAATGTGCCCATGGAAGAGGAGGAGTCAGAGGAAGAAGAGGATGAGCTCCCCATGTACCAAGAGCATTATGATGCTCTCTTCTCCATGGACTTTGTGGAGACCAAGTACCCACATGATGACACAATGAGGCTCTTGGGATCTTTGATGATGTGGAGCTGGTCCTCAAGAACATGCGCTTGGCCAAGTTCTTCTCTTACCGCTTGGAGTCATACAAGGAGCTCACTTGTGAGTTCTTGGCATCAATGAGGTTCCACAAGTACAGGCAGCTCGATCGAGCTGAGTTGGATCAAGGTTGGGGATGGATCACGTTCTTGGCAAGAGGAGAAAGGAAGACAGTGACCTTCAGACAGTTGGAGATCCTTTTCGGTTTCACTTATGGGGAGGGAACCCATTGGGATATCAAGGAGGATGAGCTACAAAGGGTTTGGGCTACAATCGCTGATGGAGTATACTCTTCCTCACGGTCTAAGGCAGCTCAAATCAGGAGCCCAGTGTTGAGATATGTGCACAAGGCTCTCGCCAACACCTTCTTGCAAGGAAAGGCGACTGGGACAATAAATGAGGGAGAAGTGAAGCTCCTTGACATGGGAATCAAGCCCATCATCTCACGCACCAAGGATGGGAAGAAGATCAGGGGAGATAGAATCCATGCAGGGAACCTCATGCCTCTCATTGACCAGCTACTCTCCTACAAGACAACCGCCTATAGCACTCGGTTTCAAACGGGAAGGAAGCTTAGTGTTGGAGGAGTCATCACGCCTATCCTCTGTGCAGCTGGAGTCCATTTGGAAAGAGAAGGTCTACTCCAGCAGGGTGGATGGATATTAAGTTTTGCAAGACCAACCTCTTCATTGAACACAAGGAGTTGGATGGGAGGTTCCAATTCAAATTCACTCACCCTTTGGCTGGCCCCTCCAAGCGACCCTGAGCTCACCACGGTTCTAGGAGGTACCAACATTGACTTCAGCCCCCCACTTTACACATTAGTTGGGCATGAAGAGGATTTGCGAGAAGAGGAGCCTGAACTCGATCGAGCTGAGGATCGAGCTGCGGACAACACCCATGTGAATGCGGATTTGGGCGAGCCTGAGTGCTACTACTTTGAGGAGTATGAGGCTCCTAGGATGAACCCCTCTGTTGTGGCTGCCCACAAGAGGATTGGACTTCTCCAAAGGTTCAACAAGTGGCAAGGGAAAGCCATGGAAAAGATGCAAAAGTCCATGGACAAGATGGTGAGCAAGATCAAAAGCTTGGAGAAGAAAGTTTCTGGTTCTTCAAGGAAGAAGAAGAAGGGACCCATGACTCCCACTTTTCCTAGGAGTAGCACTACAAGAAACGCGGCGTTTAACGTCACTTTAATAACGTTACTTTTCAATCTGACGTTAAATAAACTTAAGTGATGTTATTTTGCATCACATTTTTAACTGACGCGGCTTATAACGACACTTTTGTAGAGTTAGTTTTAAAATGACGGTAGATAAAATAAAGTGAAGTAAAGTAGTGTCAAAAAAGTAAATGACGTAAAATCCCTTCTTCCCGTTTATTTAGATATATCATTAAAAAAAAAAAAATAGAAACTCTAATTAGAACGGTGACGATTTTATCCCATATTGCTGGATTTCGTGAGTTATCGATCATCTTCGTCAATCCTTCTTCGTCAATCCTTCTCAAATTTATCCCATATTGCTGGATTTCGTGTGAATTATCGATCATCTTCGTCAATCTCGCCTGATCTTCTTCGATTCTAAGCATCTCTGTTTCCTTCTCATCCTAAAAGGTTCAAAAATCTAATTGATTAGATCTGAGTGAAATTGATCGAGCTCCTCTCAACTTTTCCGAAGAACAAAGCTAATAAGGTTAAAATTTCGTAGGGTTTTGTTGTGTTTCTGATTGATTAGAGAATTTTAGTTACTAATTTGTGTCATGTGAATACTTTTTTTTGTTAAGGGTTTCGGTGGCTCTGGAGGTGACGAAACTGGATTTGGATTTCTGCAACTCATAACACAAATTGATCTGGTAACAGCTCGAGCAATTTCTATTTTAAATTTTGAATTGATGAAGTGATCTCTAAAGTGTCTTCTTTCTCCACCGAATCCACACGAAACCTGAAATATGAATCCTACTTGAAATATGAACTCTACTTAAAATATGAATCATACTTGGAATATGAACTCTATTTTAAATATGAATCATACTTGGAATATGAACTCTACGATCTTCTGGGTTTTTTCATGCTTAGTTGTGATTTCGAATTTTCAATGATTAGTATGTGTGGCTCATGGATTGTTAAGATGAAATGTTTGGCTAAGCAAAGAGAAACTATTTGTTTAACCAATGCTAAGGAACCATTATTGTCTTTTGTGAAGATTTTATACACCTTAATATATATATATAAGAGTCAGAACCTCTCTTTGATCTTGTTTTATTATGGAAATAAGCTTTCTCTGGTTTAAAAGATATGTGATATGATGTTAGTTATGGAAAGATATGTGATATGATCTTGTTTGAATCATTTGCTTAACATTCTTCTTCCTTGTGATATGATCTTTTTCTATTGCTTCTTGGTATGCAACATCCTCTAATATTTTTAAGTGTTTTATGTTTCATGTAACTCATTGGAGAAAGGGAAAAAGGCATAGACGGTTTTGACAAGAACAGAGGACCATCAAAGAAGTAGACAAAAGCAGCTTAACTTTTACAAAGGTAATTCTACAATCTTACGCTGTTTAGTTAGATGTTTACTTACTGGTGTTAGAATGTGATTGCTCTTACTATGCTCTGTGGTATTAGTCTTGCTGGTGTTAGAATGTGATTGCTCTTACTATGCTCTGTGGTATTAGTCTTGCTGGTGTTAGAACGTGATTGCTCTTACTATGCTCTGTGGTATTATAGTCTTGCTGTTAATTGCTCTTACTATGCTCCGTGATTGAACGTGAAAAGCTTCTTACAAGCTTTTTAATTGGTTTGTTTTATTGGTAGATTTATTCTAAAATGGATAAGTCTTGGATAACAAAACGTCGGTTATCTCAAGATTACATAAGTGGAGTCAATCAGTTTTTGGATTTTGCCTTTGAAAATATGAAGACCAGTATGATCAAATGTCCTTGTCAGCGTTGCTGCCTTGTTAGACACAAGGTTAGGGTCGAGGTTGAGGGTGATTTATTCTATCACGGTTTTCTGCCAACGTATACAAATTGGTATCTGCATGGTGAAGAGTTAGATTCAAATGGGGAGACAGTTAGATTAGAGTCTGAATCTCGTGTAGATTATACAGAAGTCCTGAGTATGAATCTGCTTGAAGATGTTTTCCCAAGTATGAATAATAATTTTGACGATGACGATGCTGCCAGTCCCACAGAGGATCATCCAAAGCAGAAGGATCCAAAGCAGAAGGAGGCGCTTGATGATTTGCTAGCAGACTGTAATCAAGCTCTGTATGAAGGATTTGAGTCTTTTAGCAAGCTGTCATTCATGCTTAAGCTGTATCACATCAAGTGTATGTGTAGGATAAGTGAAAAAGGAATGTCCATGGTGATAGAGCTATTGAAAGAAGCATTTCAACATGCAAAGCTACCAGATTCTTTCAATGACATGAAGAAGATAATTCGTAAGTTAGGATTCACATATGAGACCATCCATGTGTGTCGTAATGATTGCATGTTATATTGGGGAGATGATGCATCTAGACACACATGTAAAGTTTGTGAAAGCTCAAGATGGAAGACGGCTCCAATAGTTGATGATGATGGATCCGCTGAGAAGAAGAAGAAGAAGAAGCAACAAGCTGCTAAAGTTCTCCGATATTTTCCTTTGAAACCACGATTACAGCGTTTGTTCATGTCATCAAAGACGGCTGAAAGCATGAGGTGGCATGCTAATTCTGAGAATCCAGATAGCAAGCTAAGACATCCTAGAGATGGAAAGGCTTGGAAAACCTTTGATCAACAATTTCCAGAGTTCTCATTAGAGCCAAGGAATGTCAGGCTAGGATTGGCAACAGATGGTTTTAATCCGTATGGTTCTGTGAGCATGAGCTATAGTGTTTGGCCTGTGCTTTTATTCCCTTATAACCTTCCTCCGTGGATGTCAATGAAGCAAACGTCAACAATTTTGTCAATGATTATCCCTGGGAAGAAGATGCCGGGTAATGATATTGACATCAATCTACAGGCCCTTATCAAAGAATTAAAAGAGTTATGGTCTGATGGAGTTCCAACATTTGATGCATCTTTAAAAGAGACATTTACAATGCGTGCGATTTTGCTGTGGACTATTAGTGATTTTCCAGGTTTAGGAAACTTATCTGGGTGGAACGTACACACTGGATTAGCTTGTCCATCTTGCAACTATGATGCTAAAGATCTTCGTTTACGCCATGGGAAGAAGAATTGTTACATGGGACATAGGCGGTTTCTTCCTGAAAATCATGTTTTCCGAAAAGATAAGAAGCAATTTGATGGTCTTATTGAAACAAGAGATTCTCCCATTACACCATCAGGAAGTGTTATTCTCCAACAAATTCAGCATGTGGATGTTACTTTGGGGAAAAAAAGGCGCCGGGAAGATGTAATAGTTCAATGGAAAAAGTGAAGCAATTTTTTTTAGTTACCTTATTGGAAGCATCTTCTTGTGCGTCACAATCTGGATGTGATGCACATAGAGAAGAATGTGTTTGATAATCTGATTTTCACATTACTGGATGACAAAGGCAAGTCAAAAGACAATCTCAATGCAAGAAAAGATTTGGAAGAACTTGGTATACGTAATGAGTTATGGTCTGATGCAAATGGTAAGTATCTGCCTGCTTGTTTTACAATGACAACAGATGAGAAAGAGATTTTTCTTAATATCTTGAAGACTATAAAGCTGCCAGATGGATATTCTTCAAATATTTCGAGGTGTATTGACATGAATCAACGAAAAATGGTGGGTTTAAAGAGTCATGATTGCCACATATTAATGTGTCAATTGTTGTCTATTTGCTTGCGAAATGTTTTACCAAGAGAGGTGTCATTTGTTATAACAGAGTTGTGTATGTTTTTTCGGGAAATCACTTCAAAGGTACTTGACATCAAAGATCTGGACAAGTTACAAGAACATATTTCAGTCACATTGTGCCATTTCGAAATGGTTTTTCCTCCATCTTTTTTCACTGTAATGGTGCATTTAACTGTCCATTTAACAGAAGAAGTGAAACTAGGAGGACCAGTTCACTTTCGGTGGATGTATCCAGTTGAAAGGTAACATTTTGTAAATGTTTGATTGAGTTTATACTATTAATATTGATTGAGTCTTGCTATTGATTAAGTCTTTTGCTTTTTATAGGATCTTGGGTCGTTTTAAATCGTATGTTAGAAATAGAGCTCAACCTGTAGGTTCTATATGTCAGCAATATGTGGCTGACGAATGCATTACTTTCTGCTCTATGTATCTTGAGGGTCTGGAAACACGTTTTAATCGTATTGGGAGAGTGGATGATCACCCTAAAGCAAGACATGAATTATGTTCTGAATCACAGATTCCACATTTTTTTCCTTTACTTGGGAGATCAGTTGGTGCTTCTATGTTGGACACACTAAGTCCCTTTGAACGTCAGCAGGCCCATCAATATATCCTAGTCAATAGTACATTTTTAGATGAATATCGAGAGTAAGATTTCTACTTCAATCTTGATTTGGTGTTTATAATGTCATGTAGGTTATTTAAGAGTGAATTAAGAAAATCACAGTCACGACGTCGGAAAAGGGGAACTGTGATAGATATAGATCGGCATGTGCATCTGAAATTCGGTCAATGGCTTAAGCAAAAAGTAGAAAAAAATTGCTTTGAAGGTATTTCTGATGATATCCGTTGTCTTGCACCAGGTCCATCTGACAAGGTTTTAAAGTTTTCAGCATATATTATAAATGGTTTTAAGTTTAGAACTCTAGAAAGGGATCGTGATTTAAAAACTCAGAATAGTGGAGTTTTTGTTTCAGCAGAAACTATTAGTTATGCGAGTTCTCGTGATCTGAATCCTAGAGCTGGGGATGTTTCTTACTATGGAAAGCTGACTGAAATCATAGAACTGAACTACTATGATATGTTCAGAGTTGTCTTGTTCAAGTGCCAATGGGCTGATACTCGTGATGTTCGAGGATGTAAGAAAGATGATCTTGGTCACACAATGGTAATTTTTTCCCATTTGATACACACTGGAAATGGTGAAGAAGATGAACCTTATGTGTTGGCTTCACAGGCTAGGCTAGTTTATTATGTAGAAGATCCAAAGGAAAAAGGATGGTGTGTTGTTGTTCATGTCAAACCAAGAGACTTGTATGACATGGGTGATCCCAATGTTTCAGAAGAAGATGATATTATGATTGAAGAGCTTCCTGTTCACACTGTGTTATGCGATAATGTTCCTAACATTAGACTAGTAAGACAACTAGAAGATACTGAAAATTCTCAGATTTCGTGTGATCCATATGACAATATGGAGGTTATGACTCTGAAGTTTACTTGCTTTATTTTTTCTTTTGACACTATGACATTATGTTTTTGAGACTTATCTTAACAATTTGTTTGCCACTTTTTCAGATATGAATATGTCTGGAGCTGAAGATTCTATAGCCGCACCTCCTCTTGGACCAGAACTAGCAAGTGGAAAATGGAGAGTTCGTGTCATAGGTTTGTGATAGTGGAATTAGATAGTTGACTACGTAATGATAGTGGAATATCATATTTCATTTCTTAATTCTCTGTTTTTTTTTGTTTTAGATGCTGATGCAAAAATTACAGAGCAACAGCTTTCAGGAAAGGAAGTGTGGAGCATGCAAAACCAACAGATTATGGTTGATTTCAATAGAAAAGGACAGCCAATAAAAGATTCTGGAGGCTTGTTTGGTTCGTGGTTAGGCTCACTAAGTACTGATCTTAATATACTACATATAAACTACACGGATTGGAGGAAAGTTCCCAAATATAGGAAAGAGATGGCTTGGAAAGTAATTCAGGTAATTTGTTTTAATAATTTAAGATAAAATGACAACTATTGTTAAGTGTTAACTGTTACCATTTTGATACAGAGGAAATTCTGGTTTGATGACCCGAGAAAGAGAAGAAAATACGTTATATCCACTTTAGGATGTAGATGCAGAGATTTGAACCAACGTCTTTGGAAGGCTTATAGAAAAAACACTATACAAGAAGCATTTGATGAACAAACTTTAGGCCTGGTTCCAGAAGGTATATGAACAAACTATACACTATACCAGGCCTGGTTCCAGAAGACCAATGGAAAGAGTTTGTGGAAATACAATTCACTGATAAGGCAAAGGTAAAACTTCTATAACATTGCTTTATATGTTTGTAATGCTTTCATATATACATCGCATATAACTAAGTGGGTAATGTTACAGAAAATGAGAGAGAGTAATATTATAAGTCGAAGCAAACTTAAGATACCACATGCACTTGGAAAAAAGAGCATAACAAGAATGGCAGATGAGATTGTAAGTTATACTAACAAAGTTTAGTGAAAAAGAGTACTTGTGGTTTTCTTTAGCTCAAAAACATTGCATATCTTTCTTTTGTAGGAAGAGGAAACTGGTAGAGAACCAAGTCGTAGTGAAATTTTTATTGCATCACGGTGTAGATCAGATGGAAGTTTCATCTGTGACGAAGCAAGAATCTCTGTGGTAATTTCCTTCTAATCTTTTGTCTTTGTGAACAGCAATGCATCTTTAGATTTCATTAGTTCTTACAACTTTATTTCTTTTTTATAGGAGAAGCTGAAACAAGTAATGACTGAAGGTTCCATTCAAGGTGAAGCACATGATACATATGAACAAGTTTTTGGTCCTGAGAATCCCGGAAGAGTTCGATGTGACATGGCCTGACACCTTCCAAGTATTTTTCTAATTTGGAAAACACTTCCTCTGCTGCTGAGATGATAGCTTTGAAGACTCGGCTGAAAGATCTTGAAGGAAAACTAGAAACCATGACTAATCTGGAAAGGACTTCATCTAGTGTTGAGAATTTGGAAATGATACATTTGAAGGCTCAAATGAAAGATCTTGAAAAGAAACTAGATATCGTGGCTGATGCTGTTTGTAAACTTGTTGAGCAGTTCGAGGTAATTTTCTTGTAATCTTTCATCATTTGCAGGTTATTGTGACTGCTGTTTGTAAACTTGTTGATTGTTTTTTACAGGGGAGTGCAGGAGATGAGAACAAAAAGCGTAAAACTAATCTTCAGAAATCATCTAGTATCAACAGTGATCAGGTAACAAAAAGTACTTAAATTCTACATATGTATCTTCTGCTTGATACTCAAAGTTTGTATATCTTCTGCTTAATACTTTCAGGAAAGTGGCATTTCAAAAAGTAGAATTTGAATTTGGATTGCTTGTTCCTCTTGAAACTGGTATGTTCCTCGTTTCTTTTGTATGTTATATGATGAAATAGCTAAAGTGTTTTATGGATTGGAGAGTTTGGTTGGTTACAGAACAATAGCTCAAAAATTAGGTTATTTGATGAACTAGCTAGAGAGTTTTATGGACTGGAGATTTTGGTTAGTTACAGAACAATAGCTCAAAGTATCTGATGAACTAGCTAGAGAGTTTTATGGACTACAGAGTTTGGTTGGTTACATAAACTGATGAAA